TATAGGTGCCACTGAAGTTAAAGGTGAACCATGTCTCCTTAAAGGAGAACCAGCCACAGGCACAGCCAGGTTGCTGGTACTTAGAGTAATCAATTATTGTCGTGTGCTGTCTTCATGCTGTGCCAGATCATTTAAAGATGAAGAGATGATGTTAGCTATCACTCCATCTGCAGGAGTTTGCATGCTCCTGCTTTCAGGTCACCTGTGATGAATAGAGGATGTTACTTATTGATCTATTGGTTATTGCAAAGCTGCGCTGGAGAGCCAGAGGGGCTCTCCGTCAGTCCTACAGTTGGTCGGGGGGGTAGGTCATCACGTTTCAGGGCTTTACAGAGGCTGAAGGGTGAAAGCAGAACAAGGAAGTGAAGAGGCTGAGGGAGCTGGGGTTGTTTAGTCTGGAGAAGAGAAGGCTTAGAGGTGACCTCATCACTCTCTTCAACTACCTGAAGGGAGGTTATAGCCAGGTGGGGGTTGGTCTCTTCTCCCAGGCAACCAACAATAGGACAAGGGGGCATGGGCTCAAGCTCTGCCAGGGGAGGTTTAGGTTAGATGTTAGGAAGAAATTCTTTACAGAGAGGGTAATCAGGCACTGGAACGGCCTGCCCAGAGAGGTGGTGGATTCACCATCCCTGGAGGTTTTTAAAAAGAGATTGGACGTGGCCCTTAGTGCCATGATATAGTAATTGGAGTTGGATCAGGGGTTGGACTTGATGATCTTGGAGGTCTTTTCCAACCCAATCTATTCTATGATTCTATGTCTCAATGTGCAGGTGGGGGTCGGTTTCAACTTCACCTCCCTGGAGGAACTTATTTGCTCTCCCTGTGGGGGTGTTTATCTAGAACAAATGGCCATGGAGGGCACATGGTCCCATGGCTCCAGGCTGAGGAGCTCTTCTCCCCAGTGCCACCCCTGGACCTGGCTGTGCCCAGGAGGTGAGCAAGCGGGAGAGCTGCAGCGCTCTCCTGCCTGTGTTGCTGTATCCCATACAGGAGAGGGAATCTCAACCCCTCCTAACAGGTTGAGGTTCCCCTGTGTGGATACAGCATGCCTGAAAAAACCCTGGAAGTTTACTTCAGCAAACTCATCCATGAGGACTAAGAGGTGTTTGAAGGGCTCCATTCTTTAACATGCTGCAGGAACCCCAAAGGGATGGTGCAGGGTCAGGGCTGGGAGGGGCTCTAGGAGCCACAAAGCCCCACTCTCCTCTGCCCTGTGTGGAGCAGAAGTCCACAGGCCGGGATGGGTGGAATGATGAGGAGCTGAGCTCTGGCCAGGCAAAACATGCAGAAAATACTCTCCAAAATTCCTCTTCCTGCCCTCTCCACCCTCTGTTCTGGGTTCACCGCCTCAGCCTGCCTGTGAAGAAGGAGTGCTGCTGCCAACAGGAGAGGCTTGAGTTATTCTTTGGGGAAAGGGAGTGGAGCCTGGCCTCTTCTACCTCCAAAAAGTAATATTTACCCTTTCTGCCAAGAGACGAAGTTGAACACTTGTCACCTTCCAGGTTCAGTGGATGAACAGCTGGTAGTGGATGCGTCACCTGCTTGTCTTCAGAGGAGTGGCGAGGGGTCAGGGGAGCAGGGGCGAGGGGTGCCACCTCACCTGGGGTGGTGTGGCACTCCACTGTGCTCCAGGAGACAAGACCACCAGTGACAGGCTGGCAGTATGAACAGAGCTTCTCTCTGACATACAGAAATGATCCTTCATGAGGTGCAAAAGCAGCTTTTTCCTTCTGGACCCTCAGGAGCTGAGCCTGAGCCTTGGGGGCCATTGTCACCCTGTGCTCTGCATGCACCCGCTGCCCCAAGGCAGGTGGCAACAGTCTGCAAGAGCTGTGTGGGCAGGAGGCGGCTGCTCTGTGGGCACCAGCGTGGACGCAGGCAGTGTAGCTGGGGACAGGGGTTTTGGCTGGCAGACAGCCGTGGAGGGCTCGGAGGGAGGTGGGTTGCAGGACGGCAGGCAGCTGTCTGTGTCACAGGGAGCCTTGGCAGCTGCCAGTGCTCACCAGTCGTGCCGGAGGCCAGATGGATAGGTGGGTACCGAGGCGGAGGGCCCTACTGCTGCTCCCTTCTGCAGCTCTGAGTGGTGGCAGGGCATGGGTGGCCCTGCACAATTACTGTCCCTCTGGTCACAGTCCTGGCACTCTTCGGTGGGCCAGGGAGTGCTGTGCTCAGGGTGTGAACGTCTTCTCTGTTTTGTCTGAAAAAGACACCCAGGAAAATAAACGCAGAGACCAGGATAAATTTTGCGAGCAGAAGTACTTGTGCAATGCCTGCTGGGCCCATCGCAACCTTCGTTTGAATGTGGGCTCTCTGTTCACATGAGTTGCTCCAGTACAGTTGCTGGGTTTACACCGTACTTCAAAGCTAAGAGTGCTGGAGGTGCTTTTCTGAGCCAAGATCTGTCACTTGCCTCTCTCCTTGTCCCCCACAGGCTCTGGCATACCATATAGCTTTGTTTTGTTGCTGCTGGTGCTCTCCTCTCTGGACGGCTGGCCCACACCACCCTAGGGGTGTTTCCTGGGCAGGCAGTGGGCATTGCTGTGCTCCCGCCTTCCCGCCAAAGTGCTTCAGCTCCCTCCACTCCAGAGGGCTGCACAATGCAACCACAGTATATGTGGGTGCAGGCAAACCATCCGGCTGCCCCTGGTTCTCGTCAGTACTGTGGGAAGTCCCACATCTCAGGACACAGCTACACAGCTCATTTGTACCGCAGCTCCTGGGATGTTTGCAGCCCAGTCTGTGCTGTGCGAGTTTACAGGGCTGCATGTCCCCAGCTGGATGAGCCAAGACGAGCAGTGGTGGGATGTGCTGGTAACACGCAGGGACAAAGCTGTGTTCTGGACCTGGTTGCCTGCACAGGTTATGTACTCTAGTTGGAGCTTCGCTGTGTAATTCATGTTCACAAATGCTCTGTCTGGGGAAGGAGAGGTCACAGCTCCTTTCCTACCCACACTGTATCTCCTGGTTTTTGTGCAAATGCTCTCGTTTCAGAAGGTCCTCAGCTGCAACCTGCATTAGTGTTAAACATGCTTTTCAGTTACTGTTTAGACCCTGAGAGGAAAAAACCCCTGTTCTTTTGTTTGCCTGTCCCTCTGCTTTTTTGTGTCCCCTCTCAGATCACTGAGGCAGGAGACGATGCCTTCACCGGTGTCTCCAGGGGATGAAGCATGTGGTACCCATACTTGCGGTGGGACAAAGCCTCCATCTTCTGGCAGCAGAGCCACACAGCAGCCAGGCACTGGCTTCTGTCCGTGGAAGTTGTCCCAGAAAGGAGGCAGAGATCTGGCCGAGGAAGCAGAGCAAAGCCTTGGCGTGCGTGGTGTTTCCTCCAAGGCTCAGCCCCTCCAACCGCGCTGGAGCACAGCACTTATCCCACAACATCTCAGGGCTTGTCTGGTAGCCGAGGCAAGGAAGCGGTCTCCGTTTGGGTTCTCTCTCTCTGAGACCTAGAAATTTTGTCCTGGTCCTAAAGAAGCTTCTCATGAGACTATTTTAATGCATTCCTGCCTGATGGTACCCCAGCAGCATCCATCATCTCTTTTCCAAGGCTGACTGGAAGTGAGGTGCTACCAAATGGACAGGTTAAGGGGGGAGAAGTTTAGGGATTTTCTCTCTTCACCTCTGATAGTGGGTTCAGCGTGTTCACACTTCCCTTAGGGTACCTCAGAACTGAATCTTTCTGAACTCCTCCAGAAGAATCTTAAAAGACTGTGTTCAAAGCATTTTTCACAAGTAATGAAGAGGTCAGGGGCAGTTCTCAGCATTGCAACTGCAACTTGAGGCGTGGGGATTATTCCATGTCGAGACTTGCCCTTCCAGCACTTTTCCCCCTTTGGGCTCCCTGAGGGTGCCGAGTACCTGGTACCAAGGGAGACATGCACGCAGACACGTGTGTTTATTTTTGTAAATGGTTTTAAAAGAATGACAAGGGGCTTGCAAATGGATCCAAGCAAAGATAGAAAAAGACCACAAAGGCAAAAATACTTTAGCAATAAGACTGGAGAGTGCTGAGCCCTGCCAGCACCTCTGCAGGATCTGCCAGGTTGTTATTCATCCCTCGGCTTATGCTGACAGCCCCTCGCCCGTGGCAGTTGGAGAGGGACAATTGTCCTGTGGCTGATGGTCTGGGGGGACTTTGATGTGCTGCAGAGGCTGCTGCCCTGCTCTCTGGGCTCTGCATCTGCGCTGGCTCTGTGCTCATGGGACCAGGGTGGTTTAATTAAAGGTGGCACAGCCATCTCCAGAGTCACTTCTGCAAAGCATCAGCTGCACATGCAGTGCCTGCAAGCCACTGGCCCAGCGTGTGTTGGCCCGCTTCACCGGGTGCCTGTGGCTTCTGAAGTGCTTTGAGAGAGCAATTGCTTCCTAGTGTCAAGTGCCCTCAATTGCCTGTGTTTCTGGAATTGCTCAAATCTTCCCCCAACACCATCCTCCTTTCCAAAGATGCCAGCTGAGAACTTTCCATGTCCAGGCCCCTGCTGTGTGTACCCCCAGGAAGCTGGAGGTGCAGTTTGTGGTGGTACACCTGCATCTGCTGGGCATTGACAACAAACCCTTCCTGCAGAAAGGGCACGGTGGTGGCACTGATGGCAGAGGCTCCAGGGGCACACGTGGCACGTGTTGGGGTCACAGGGTTACAGCCTGTGGACTACCTCAGCTGTCTTTGCAGCACCCCCTGTAGATCCTGCCCAGGCAGACCTGGATGGAGGGGAGATGGTGCTGACATAAGGGTTTTTCCCAGTCCCCTGTGTTCAAACACAGCCCAAGGAAGTAGTAGCTGCCTTGGGGGTCCCATCACAACAGGGGTGGCACCTGAGGAAGGGTGGGGGGAAGGAGAGGCAGTGAGAGGGGAATCGCCTTTCCCAGGGCCATGCACCTGCAGAGCCGTACTGCCTTTCAGATCATGCCAAGCTTCTTCACCCCAGAGAAGGGGGGGAGTTTGCCCATGGGGCAGGGACTCCTCACCTGCCTGTGTGCCTGACTCGGGTCTGTCTCCCCAGGTATCTCTGAGCCACGAGTGCACTCGCGCCATGATGAAGCTGATGTACTGCCCACACTGCCGGGGCATGTCCAGTGTGAAGCCGTGCAGCAACTACTGCCTGAACGTCGTGAAGGGCTGCCTCGCCAACCAAGCAGACCTGAACACTGAGTGGAAGTACCTGATGGGTAAGATGGCCTTCCTCTGCTGCACCACAGCTGCCTCTCACAGCACCTTTTGAACTCTCTGAGGCAGTGTTCAGAGTTTGGGAAAGGACTGTTGGAGGTTTTTTACACTACAGTTTCTCTGTCTGTGATCTGACACCTTGAAGCTATCGCAGGACATTTTGCTGGTCTTTAATACTATTAGAAAGGACACTGCTGGCTGGCTAACAAGGGCTTAAAGAGTTTTTGTCTTGCCTGTGCTTGTTTGGGGTTGCCCACACATTGCATTCAAGTAATTCTTCCTTCCCTCCCAAATGTTGAAGCTTAGGGACAGATCCTGCCACCTGTACACTGTCAGAGCTGCCTCCTCATCCATACCAGAGCACTTGTGAGAGCACAGGAGAAGCACTTGCAGCCCTCCTTGGGAGGTAGTCTAGAAACTAGCCCTAAACTGTTTCCATGGGTGGAGAGCAAAGGAAGCAGAATCACTTACTCCTAAATGGGAAGAAGTGTCTTAAACAAATACATGGGGAGGGAGAAGTCACAGGTATTGCCAGGAAGGGGAAAAATTAGACAAGTATTTTAAATAAGAAAAGGGCTCATTTTGGTTTTGTTTTGTCACTCAGCTAAGATGATGGGTCTCTTAAAGTGGGTTGTATATGTATAGAGATGTCCATTTCATTGAGTTTAAACGCAGAAATATCACTGTGATGGTGTGGTCTGATCTCCTGTGCAAAATAGGCTGGAGAACTTCAACCAGGCATTTCTGCAGGAAATTCTGCATTGCCTGATCACAGCCAGGCGTCTCTTCTAAGAAGACGTCGTGTATCACTCAGCTGTTTTTCCAGAGCCTGTGGCTCCTGATTTAAATACGAACTGCTGCTGAGAGTGGCTTATGGAGCTGATAGGCATGGTTTAAGGCTGGTGAGGGTCTCTGTTTAGAAAATGATGTGTTTGTGTTACAGTGTATGTCCTCTCCCCAGCTGCAGTCCATCAGGGGAGGTTGTTTGTGATGGTAAAGCTCTCACTCCTCCTTGTGCCCACAGAGCATCACCCAGAAAGCTCGTGTTTCTCTCCCAGGCTGTACATTTACACCGGGAGTGATCTGAGACCTGAGGGAGCCTTGACGTTCATCTGGGCTCACAGAAGACAGGCACTGGGGCAGATGAGCTTTGGGCTTGGCCTCTTCCCTTGCCCCTGCGCCCCCTGCCTGGCCAGCAAGATTTATCAGCTCACTAGCCAGCTGCAGCCTGACAGGCTGGCTCAGGGTTGACGTGTGGTGGTGTTAACAATAAAAATCCCAATGAAGTTCAAGGAGTGTCATCTGCCTCTCAGGGGACGTGGCAAAATAAATATTGACTTGCTGCACAGAGAGGCTGGTGCACTTGCTCAGTGAGGTGTGTTCGCCAGCTGCCCGCCTCGTGCTAGGGGCTAACGAACCAAGTGGCAACTTACTGTGGCTAATTGGAAGTGCTCCCCATGAGAGCAGCTTGGGAGGCTGCTGCGAAAGAGAGGGAGGAATATTCCCTTCCCCAAGGGCTTACACCAGGACTTTGATGGTGCTTTGGCCTTTCTGACCAGAGCGAGCTAACTGTTAGCTGTCACTGTTCTCCTGGCAGGATGACTGCCTGTCTCCTGAAAGGTCAATGTACAGCTCTCCTTGACTGACAGGGAGGCAATTCCGGGTGCATTTTGCAATTACGCTGGCTTCCTCTTCCCCTGGAGACCCTGTCAAGGGGTGATGGCTAGGAGGAAATTGGAGCTTCTTTCAAATTGCAGTTGTACATTTTAGTGTCAGAGGTCGTGATTTGATCAAGGACTGGAGCAAGATATAGAGTCAAAGGTAGCAGTTCACTGGCATTGTCCATTCTTCACCCTTCTCCAGGCCCTTCTGTGTAGCTAGAGAGGATTTTGTTACACGAAACACAGAGTTATTCTTTCAGTTTGACAAATTAGGGCAGGTCAAATTAAGGGACATTTTTATAGTAAGTGGTTCAAACATAATTTGTCACTAATTTAGGGGTGTAGCCTTTGATTTAAATGTCTGTATCACAACATTAGGGCCTCTGCAAGCTAAAATTGTCTGGAAAATACAGTCTCAAAGATAACACAGCAACCCCTGAGTGGCAGCAAAGTTAAACTGCAAGCTCTTTAATGTTGCAGGAGATGTTATTTCCCAGAATACAAAAAAACGTTACCCCTTTGTGTGGCATGTTTGGTTGTAGAAATCAGCGCTGCCATACGACTGTGTTGTAGGAAAAGAGAGCACATTAACTTGGAAACTGCGGCCCTTGTTTCCATTCTTGCTCAAGCTAACCAGCAAAATCCTTTTTCTTTAAGTGCTGAAAATAAATACATAATGTTTCCAAGCTGTAACTTTGCATGTTGTTAAATCCGATTTTGTAGACCTGAGCAAAGAGGAGTTTGTAATCCACACTCCAGACTGGCTGAGGTTTGACTACTGCCCTCACTCCCCTCAGGCTGGACCTGCTTTGGGGCTGTGAGCCCTGTGGGCACGATCTGTTATCTTCTGTGGGTTTGTGCTGTCCCTCATCTAGTCTTTGCCCAGGTTGGTCGTTCTCTGAGAGCTCTCAGGGTCTGAACATCAATCATGTAACAGCAGAGAGAACATACTTGCAAGGGCTGAGCATGCTGCTAAATTGAGAACAGTGGGCTCAGGATCAGGGCTTTGTTATTAACACACTACATCCACTGTGGACCTAGTGTTTCTGCACAAACCTCACCTAGACCTTGTGGAAGTTATTTGAGGTCTTTTCTGCCAAGTCCTGCTGGCTTGCCCAGGCAAGGGACTGAACACTTTCCTAGCAGGTTTCAAACGGCAGTGATCCATGGTTGTGCCCCAGCTGGATGGACTCCTGCTCGAAGGAAATTTGCCGTGTCGCTCAAAGATAAGCGTCAGTCCTTTAAAGCGGTGTCACGGGTGACACGTACACACTGTGGGATGGTGTAGGCTGAAGGACATGTGTTGCTGATGCTCTGTTGCACTGCCAGGTGTAATTCACCTGGTGGATTCATTGCTCATGAATAACTTCAGCAGCACAGACTCATGCTGAATAAGCTTTTCTGCAACATCACACCATCTGCTGTGACAGTCTCCTGCCAGGCTGATGGGTGAGGTATCAGGATTTAAGACAGAAGAATTAATCACTCCTAATGAAAAGCTCCATTTATGAATGGTACAGATCTCCAACCTAGACCCTGGGATTTGACCCTCTTTGTGTAGAGAAGAACCAACATGAAGCCATCACACTTGTTTTCTTCCATTTGGCGAGGCCACAGGAACATGAAGCACTTTCTGTTCCAGGTGAGCGCGGGCCACCCCAGCACTCTAACAGATCCCTTGTCCTGCCAGGAGGTTTCTGGTGTGCCTGGGGGGATGCAGACCACACTGGAGCCATCTAAGGTCACACTACTAATGCACAAATGGTAGGAAACTGAGGCAGCAGCAGCGTAGCAGTGACTTTCAGAATTAAAATTTTTTACTAGCAAAGTCAGACCTGGTTAAGAGCTCATTTTAGGTGTCCAAACCCAGTTCTGGCCCTTCGCTGAGATCCTATTTAAATCTCTCTGGACACCAAGGATGTCAGCTTTTCTCTGCAAGTGTCCCAAGCCCTGCAAGCATATAGGCTGTCATTGCTTCAAACCCAACTGGAGTGTTGAGAATCATCTCTGAAGGTAGGCAGAGGTTGGTAATTTGCAGATGTTGGTAATTTTTTTGTAGGCCAAGCACAGTCCCAAAGCAACCATCCAGGCAGGAATATTTGGACATCAGAGCTTTCCAAGATAAGAGGAACTGAGAGCAAGAGGCACCCCTCAGTCACTCTCTGCCCTGTTTACCAGTTTAGTTGTGGGCATTTTGGTCTGCTTCTTTGTCTTCATAGCCTGATATTTCCCTGGCTGGTCGTGTGTTGTCCTTCCAGAAACAATAGTGAGAAGAATTACTCCCTTTCTCCCTCCTTCACTGCCACAAAAGCTCTTGCCACATCCAGTACCTTTGGCACTTTATTGACCCCAATTCTCCCACTTCCTGCTGGCTGCAGTGCTTTGCTGAATACATGCAAGAGTTAGGAGGGTTAGGGCCAAGTATTGCTGTGCTTTCCTTAACATTTCAGCACCAATTGTCCCTTTTTGTTTTCTATAGCACCCCGGGAAATGTTGATTGCTTTGTGTGCGTACAAGTTCTATTTACCATTGGCAGGAGGTGACCTCTGTGGGTGGCTTTACCTATGTACTGGCAAGGGACAACTGTCCCATGCCGGATGAAAACGAGCATGCGCTTGACCAGTAGTGAAAATGGAGAGAAGTCTCCCAACGAGCCTGCCAAGGGGTCAACAGCTTATACCACCTGGCATGAGCGTGATCTTTAGCTTGGTTTGTACAGAGTCTGATGAGAGGTGTCTGTCTTGTTTTAATAGATTCCTTGGTCATAGTGGCTGATCGGATTGATGGACCGTACAACGTAGACACTGTAATAGGGACCATTCACATGAGGATTGCTGAAGCTATTTCCAACTTGCAAGAAAACAAAGATTCGATCACAGCCAAGGTAAGAGCGTGTGCCTGGGCCTGGCTGAGGATACACCATGTGTAACTGCCAGGACCAAATGTTTTCTGTGCTCACTGTTCAAGTTCAACTGAACTAAAGGAGGTGAAGGATCAAAGAGATCAAATGCCCACTCTTCTAGTGATAGGAAACCACCAATCTTACACAGGCAAAAACCTCCTCAAGTCTTTCAAAATATTCCTCCCTGCCTCATCCAGCCAGCCTCCTTTAGGTACAGACACAAGGTGGGACTGCATATGCAGTGACTGTGGGAGGCATGGTGCCATTTGCTGTCAAGTGCATCTGTGTCTGAAGAGTCCTGGAGTATTTTGTCTGTGCTGAGGCATTTACAGAAAGTGCACAGCCCTTAGTGACAGAAGGCAGCTGCTTTAACCTGCCTTGGGGTGATGTTCTGCAGCAGAAACACTGGGCTAACAGGTTTTATCTGTGGGACAGAGCTGCAGTCTGGCAGTCCATCTGGAGAGTATAAAACAGGCTCTTCTGATGCTCACCTGTCTTCCAAGAAGTGTATCATTAAGCTGTCTTCTATTGGTCTTCTATTTTTAGTATATTTATCTACTTAACCACAATCACCTCTGTAGCTGCAGGTAAGAGAAGCTTTGGGAACAAAAACAGCCCTCCAGGGCTTCTGCTTTTTGCCCAGACATTCTCCAAGTCCTGCAACTATCCCACAGTTAGGGCAGAGATGCAGGTGAAAGGAGTGGGGCAGGTTCTAACTGCATCTTGCAGAAGGGAAGGGCCAGGAGTATTGCTTCGCCAAGCAGAAATTCACTGGCACATGTCAAAGCACTAACAGCAGCATGCATCCAAGTACTTGTTTAGGTTTCTTTTCTGACATGAAAGGCCATATTCCTTCTTCCTGTGTTAGGTGAGACTGAGGCTGTCCCACAGCAAGCCCATGATGTGGGAAAACATGGCATCATCTGCAAAGAAAAGTGTTTCCAAGGCGCATATAGTAAATCTGGTAAAATGAAACGGAGTAAATAGTCTAGTTGGTGTGGACTGGAACAACCAAACATGTTTGATAAGCTTCTCAGTGTGATCTGGTGACCAGTTGAATGTGTCAGTCTTTGCTGGTGGCACTGGTAGCAGAGGTCAAGAGCTGCAAATTGCTAAGGTCTGGTGTTGAGCGTGGCAAAGTAATCAGGTAAAGGATATTGTTGTCAGATGAGCTTGGGACTGGCCCAGGCCAGACCTGGGATTCTTCTCTCTCAGGGTTGAGGGCAGCAGAGTCGGGCTGCACCTGAGGGCTTCAAACACAGCCAGCCCGCAGGTAGGGCACTGTCTGCCATTTGTGAGAAGAGCCAGAAATGGCCCTTGGACCCAAGGACACCCTCCATCATGGGTTCTCCTGGGATCTGGGGAAAAACTGGAAAGAAACGCTTTTGGTACTGAGCCCTGTGTTCACTGCACCAAGGAGCGCTCTCCCTGCTCCCCCGCACTCCCCCTCGCTCCCCATGGCTCTCTGATAGATTTCAGGCAGCAGGAGCTATCGAAGGCTGCAGATGTCTATTTGCTGTCATTATGCAGGAGACTATCAATCCCCTCAGTCTGCAGGACATGCTCTCTCCATCAGTAATGGGCATTGCTCAACCTAAAGCCCCTGGGCTGGCAACAGGATCCGGCAGGAGAGTGCACCCCAGGAGGGGGCTTTCTAGGCTGAATGTCCCTCAGACACACCCATGAGACCCACTGTCATCAAAGGGACTTTTGTCTAGATAAGGACTTTGCTGATGGCTGTCAGAACCCACTGGCAAAGGCAGCTGGCACAAGCTGCCTCAGCAGCGCTCCTGTCTGAGGCCTTGATTCCTCTGCTTTAAGGGGACACCATGCAAAGTCAGATGTATCGATAGCTTCTGACAGCACCCTGGTAACCACAACAAGCTTGGGGCCATCTCTTCAAATCAGATGGCTTTCTTTGTAAAGGCTGGTGTTTCCTGAATCAAACTGACAGTGCAAAGGCCCTTCTGACCTTTGATGCTTCATTAAAGCTGGCTCTCCGAGCACTCCTCCACCAGCCACAGTGAGGCTCAGTTGCCTGAGCACTGGCTATCTTCAGCAGAGGTGTCCTTGCCTGGACTGGTCATGCAGAGACTGGAAGAAACAGGCACTTCCAGGGCACCCTTCCTCTCCTTCTATAGGCAAAGTCTGAGGATTTGTACCTTCAAAGTGCTTCTGCTCTCCTTTGGTTACAAAGCATACCTGGGCAGGTAGTTAGGATGATGGGAGGTACCCAAAGTTAGAGGGTAAATCAGTTTGGCTTCCTCATTTTTCCCCTGAAACATCCAACCTGACAGATTGTGACACATCTACTGTCTTTGCACTCCCCTGGTTGGAGGGGACATTAATTTGCTGCAGTATGGGTGCCAACTGCAAGAGTCATTGGGGTAGTCCCACCTTGGTCTGTTGTCCAAATCAATGAAGCTCACATGCTCTGCAGTCTTGAAGCCCCCACCACTGATGTAACGAGTGTGAGCAACTCCCATCTTGTTCTTCCCAGAATTTTATTTTTCAGTCATAATAGGAACAGATAAAATTGCTAGAAATAATTTAATATCAACATTGGTGACTCATCCGAAAACAAGTGCCAATTTTGTGTTAGTGATTAACATTTTGCTTGATAGCAAGTAACCAAAAACAGTTACAGGGTGCTGAAAACACCTCCTGGCACATGTGTAACCTGGCCAGAAACTAAGCCAGAATCTCTGAGATCTTGCAAGTAGGAAAGATCAACATACCTAAGGGGGGAAAACAAAACAAAACAAACAAAACAAAAAAAAACCCCCAAACAACAACAAAAAAAAACCAAACCAAGACCACACCAAACCAGACCTGTGGAGTTCTAATTAAGTAAAGAAATAGTATCAAAGCAAGGGGTAGAGTTTGGTTTGTTTTTCAGGTTTTCCAAGGCTGTGGGAATCCCAAAATCAGCACAAAAGGCTCCAGCACCGAGGACAAGAAAAGGCGGGGGAAGGTCACGTTGGAAGCAAAATCCTCTGCGCAAGCACTGGAGATGCTGGTGAGTTTCCCTCCCGAGCTCCCTCCCCTCCAGTGTGCCAGGGCAGGCGTCCTGCTGCGCTGCTGGGAGCCCTGGGAGCGATGAGAGCCCGGCGAGCACAGTGCTGGCTCGTGCGGGTCGGGACAGCCCGTCCCATAGGCTGCTGAATTGCCTTTGCTTGGCAAGAAGATCAGATCAACAAGTGCTGGAGTGACCTAAGCAGATCTGATCTTGCCTTGGTATGGGATTGGGGTCTAGGTTGCTTATAACCAATTTCTCGGGGATTTGGTGCCAAACTGACCTGAAAAGGCTCTTTGCCATTGGTGTCATTCAGCCTCAAGCAGTCCAGCCTGGATACTGGGGACAGAGGTCCTCCTCCATGGAGATTTTGGATTCCATGGACAATGAGCTGCAGGATCTGCCATGGTTCCACGTTTCAGAGGCTCCTCGCTCACAGACACCTGCCTGCCCCACCCTAGGAGAGCCCTGCTGGCTCCCACCAAGGCTGCTTCTCAGCATTGCCCTCATGGCCCAGAAGATGATCTCCAGTTAATGTTATGGTACCAGAACAGCCCTTAGCATGTAACCTTCAGCCTTGGGTGCTTGGGTTGACAGTTGGTCTTTAGGGGAAGGTTGGTAACACATCCCTGTCTGCATTAATCCAGACTTTGTGATGGTAAAACAAACAAAAGAAAAAATAGGTAGAGTCCTTGTCCTTTCCACAGCTCTGGGGTGCCCCAGAGCTCTCCTGGCCCTGAGCATCCTCTTTGTTTACAGGTTTTAGATGCCAAAGGGAATCTGACAGCTCTCAAGACTTACTGGGTCACCCTGCCCGGCAGCCTGTGCAGCAAGAAAGTAATGGCCAGCTCAGCAGCAGACGACAAGTGTTGGAATGGGATGACCAAGGGCAGGTATGGAGTGGGTCAAGGCGCCAGGATGGCACTGTTCAGCCACCCCCAGTTGTTCAGACTGAGCCGAAAGGTCTGTCCCCGGCCACAGAAACGCTGCGTTTCCTGACAAACTGGTACCCGGAATGTCGAGCCTGTAGTCACTTTGCTGGGTGTTGGAGGGTTCAG